ATTCAGATTTTGAAATTTAAATTTAAATTTGAATTTTTTATGTTTTATTTTTTTTTTAAATGCAAGCAAATCAACCAGATGACCTAGGGCTAACCTAGTGTTTCCTAAACTAGTGGTTCAACCAATGTGAATCCTTTTAGGTTCACGTGGAATTACACTACTTCGTTTGGTTAGCCAGGTAAGAGGTGGGGATGTGGGAGGCTCTCCTTGTTCTCGCAATGACCTAATTAAGTAACCACAAAACCTGCTTTGGTGTAGTCGTTTAACCTCTTTACTTAGACACCAACCGCCAGTTATGGAAAGTAATTACAAGTTTTCCTAAAATTCAGCACACCATTGAACCAAGTGTGAGGCTTCCCTAAAGGATCTTGGTATTCAAAGATTAAATTAGGGTTTAGCGTAAACCGTACGTGAAGGGTGGTGATTTTTGGGCCAAGGGAGGGTGATGAAATCCCCACCTTATCTTATTTAAGTTGGGTGCCCTTAAATAGATTAACGAAACAAAAACAATCAAACAAAATGAGTGCAACTAATTACAATGCATGAACAATTATTTCTAAAATGCAATTCAGCAATATAACATAAAAGAATAAAACAAACTAATTAAGCAAAAGTAATAATTAAAATAGTAAAAAGAAGAAAACCTAACACATTCGCAACTAACAAGATGATTTCAACAATTAAATAAACCTATATGATGCATGCTCTAGAATATGAAACCCTAAACGTTGGAATGCAAATGCAAGAAGTTTAAAATATTAAATAATTTTTATTTATTTATTATTATTATTTTTTTTAAATTCAAAATTTTAAATTTAAATTTCGAAATTTGAAATTCAAATTCAGATTTGAATTAAAATTTAAATTTAAATTCAAATTCGAAAATTTGGACAATATTCTAGTTAACAATTAATTATTCAATTAAATAACTAAAAAGGAAATTAAATAAGGCAACAACTAATTATAAAAAAACAGAAAATAAAAGAAATAATTATGCAAAAAAAGAAATTAACTACTACCAAAATAAATTCTAACAAGAAAATTGCTATTCTAAAAATTAAACCAAAAATAAAATAAACAAAAGAAAATTATGCGGCAATAAATAAAATAAAATACACAAATTTTATTGTTATTTTTTATCTAAAAAAAGAAAAACACAAACCTAATAAGACAGAAATTTGAACAAGAAATTAAAATAATGAAAGAAAAATAGATCTAGAAACAAAACAAAGAAAAATAATACTAAGAATAATAAATTGGATCTAGAAAAAAATTAATTAAAATTTCGAAAATCATTATTTTACCAAAAAAAAGAGTTCGAGAATAAAAACAAAAAGTCAAAAATAAAATGGGACGACTACACCTGAAACGCAATCCAATTTAATCTTTTGTTCTCTTCTCTCCCATAGTCCCGCAATGCTTCGGTACCCCGCCTCTCGCTATTTCGTCCTACAAAATCAAAGAGAAGTAAGAATTAAAATGAGATAATGGATCAAGTAATAAAACAAAAATAAAAAAATAATGAAACAAGCAAATAAAAAATTTTTCTTTGTTGCTTCCCCGTCAGCGGTGCCAAAAACTTGATGTTTCTAGAAGCGTGTCGCTAACCACTTCGGAACACCAGTTTAATATTTATAAGTTTTTTTCCGATTCTCAAACAATTACAAACACAGTAAAATGGTGAGAATGGGTCGTATCCATAGGGAAGCGAGGAAAAAATTGTTATTTACTTAGATCCGGGAAAGAAAACACAAGTGGGAGTTGCAGAAATACAAAAATTAATTTATTAAACTGGAATAAAATAGAATTTGAACATTGTTGAAAATTAAAAGTGCAAAAAAATAAATACAGAAATAAATAAATGAAAGAAAGAATTTGTGATCCAATCAGAGGTAGCAGTCTCTAGATATTTCATTTAACCCTCGAACTTCTCAAGCTAGGCCTTCCGTCATACCTAGCCGAATTCTAGATCTGTAGACAAGTAAACGGAAATTAAATTGAATGAAAGAAAATTGCAGAAAGAAAGAAACAGAACTAGAAATGAAAGAACGAAAATTAAAACTAAAGATAATGGTTGGGATCTGAATCCAGAGGTGGCAGTAGTGGTGTTGGCGAACTGCAAGTAGGAACCCCTTCTCTTACCTGCGCGTCATCCTCTTCTTCTACCCTTAAACTTCTCAAGATTASCCTTCCATCTTACCTGGGGGTAGAATCCAACCCTTTCTCAGGAGCCTTGGGTCATTTTTATAGAGAATGGTGGATACAATTGGAATTAGAGAGAAAGAGGGGGCGACAACTGGGTTTTAGCAAAGATATGGGCGCCCTAGGGTTTCTAATGGAGGGTTAGGATGGTTCTGGGGTGATCGTAGGGCTGAGAAGAAAAGGAGAGGGTGCCCAATATTATGTAGGGCTGTGATTTGGGTGCCCAAAAATGAATGGAGGAGATTGAGGCACCTAGGGTTGAAAGGTGGAGATTAAAAGAGGTGGGTGGCACCTTAGAGTGGATGGCTGAGATAGAAGATGGAATGGAGGGCTGAGATCTAGTGGTTAGGGGCTGAATGGTGAGGATTAGCAGTTAGGTAGTGCCCTAGGGTTTAAAAACTACAAAGAGAATGCCCTAGAATGAATGGTGGATATTAGAAGAGGTGGAGGGTGGAGATTAAACAGCTAGGGGCGGCTAGGGTTTGCTAAGAATGAAAAGAATGGGTTAAAAGGCGCTCTAGGGTTTGCTAAGGAGAGGGGAGCATGCTAATATAGTAGGAGGGGCGCCATTCTGGGTTTAGCAAATAGGAGGTGCCCTCCTGTTCTCAGTTTTTTCACAAAACACCCCCTCTCTCAGCTGGATTTCACACCAGCTTCCCAAAAGCTACAATTTAGTTGTGTAACTTTCCTAGTTTTCCACAGAATTTGCACAGAGACCCTCAGATGTCACAACATTGAATTTAACTGGGAAAAAGACACACTTTGACTATTCTAAGGTCGAAAATACCCCTGAACTGATGCCCTTAAGGCATCAAAATACAGAGTTATCAAAATGTGCCATTGAGTTTGTAATTAGAGAGAAGGTGTGAGAATTAGGCCTTTGTGTAGCATTTCCTACAGATGGCGCCAATTGATGCTGTGCAATTTGACGTTCCTGCTGGCGGACAACTTAGACGTTGAACTGGGTAGGTCGTGTGGCCGAACTACAAGAGAGAAGTGATCAAAGTGTCCCGGTTGCTTTACTTGGGGTGGTCACTCTGATGCATAAGTTAGAGACTAAGTTTGCATGTTTGAAAGTATGAGAACTAGAGTGCTTAGAGAGCTAAATCACACGTATATGTTCTATGAAAGGGGATGCCTTATATAGGCAAGTTGTTGTGAAGCTCAAGAAGTGTGTCTGGGATCTCCAGCCCATCTGGTTTGAAGGTGGTTTCACGCCTAGAGGTGGATTCTACGTATTTATCCAGTCTCGCCCGAAGCGGGCAGGGTGATAACCGGCTCTTCTAATTTGGCATCGTGATCCCGGGGAAGTTGGAGATGATAGTTCGCTTAAGGAGGAGGTCACCGACACTTCGGACAAGTCGCTAACTGAAGTTGGGTCTCATTGGCGGGAGCAAATTGCCTCTTACACCGAACTAATGTCTTGTTGGGAAGTTCACAGTTTGGCCTATCGAAGTGGTGCCGAGGTCATCAAGGTGGTTGCGAGGTATTCGAAGTGCTCCCGAGGTCCGCCTACGTGGTGTTGAAATGTTGGATGACTACTACGAAATGCCACATGTCATCACGTTAGTGGAGGGCCAAATTGCCCTTCATCAATCTTCTTTATGTAAAAGAAAATTGGGGAATTAGCTGCATATCCATATCCATAGAGTGTTAATTAGTCTAATCATGGATGATGTCAATCGACATCTTTGGTTAGCGACTCGTTTTTCTTCTTTCATTTTCTTTGGAAGAAGGTGTAGGAAGGGGGAGGTTTTTGTCCACATTAGACAGATGTCACATGGTGAAAAGGGGAAAGTTTTCTCCAAGAGCAAAATTGGATTTTTCAGAAAACTTAAACTGCACATGATGTCGTGTGTATCAGGATGCAAACGGATCAAATCGTATTCGAATCAGGGTATTTCAAATCCCATTTGACATTGTTCACTTCGGATTCGATCCAATATGAAGATCTGATTGGATCTGATAGGATTTGATTTGAATTCGAATTCTATCGGTAAGCCAGATCTTTATATCTGACTCGATCCAGTTTATTTTCTTTAAAAATTAATAAATTATTGAAAGAAAAATAAAATATACTAATTTAAATAAAGTAAACACAAAAAATACAAGTATTTTTTAATTATGTTCATCATATATATACATGTTTTTTATAAAAAAATAAATAACACAACAAATTTATAAAAATATAATGTAAAAATATATCTATAAATAAATAAATAACATATATATTATATATACTTATATTTATAAGTATATATATATATTATATATATATATATATATATCAGATCGGATAGAGGGATCCGAATCCGATCCAATTTCTAATGAAAATTCGATCCAAAAATTCGAACAGGGGTGATTCAAATTCGATCAAATAGGATCGAATCTCAGATCAGATCGGGATCTGATCCATTTGCACCCCTAGTCATGTGCTGACAGAAATGAATGGAAAATCAACGGATGGAAGGTTTTTATACGCTGAGAGGAGGTCTTAGTCGAATGCTTTAAAAAGTGAGGGGATGTTTCAGTATTTAGGTGAAACATTAGGGGTGGTTTAAGTCTTTTAGAACACTGCATTCGATCAAGTAAATTACCCATTTACATCCAAAGATCAGGATTTTCTAATCATGCTGATAGATCAACTTCGAAGCGTCTCTCCGGCCTACTAACAACTATTTAATTAATTAAATTTCCATCGTCTTTTCATTTTCAAAATTTCAAACACATCTGAAAAAAAAAACCGTCTTTTGGTAAACGAATTATCAGTTGATGCGTCTAAACATCAAGAAACAAGAGAACCCAGGACCGTTGATTTGTCCAACAACGAGACTACGATAATTACAGATTCTGGCAAATGCCCCCGGCGCAGCCCGCATCTCTATCTCTTTTTTCTTAAAAGCTTGTGTATTGCGCCGTTCAAGTCGGTTACTTCAGTAGTTATTCTCCACATTATATAAAGGCCCGCATTCCACGACCCCAAGACATTCATTCTACAAATAAGAAGAAACCAAAAAGCCTCCCTTCGTAGCCCTCTCCATTTCTGATTCTTGCAACCTTTGATCTTCTTGGGCGGGATTCCAACGGATTAGAGAATAAAGGTCAGTCTTTTGTATCTGGGTTCTCTTCAAAATTTGTTTTCGTGTAATGGGTTTCTAAGAAACATAAGAAAAAATGTTATTGGATTTGCATCTTTTATGGTAGATCCGGTTTTAAAGCTGAGAGGGGGAAAAAAACAAGTTTTCCACTTTTTTCTATTGATTGTGTTGATGATTTGTGTTGTTTTTTCTTGTACCTGTAGTGTTTTGGCTTGTTTCTGACTCTGCATTTCGTTTTGTTCTGACTTGGTCACTTGGGTTGCCACCAAAATAGAAGGTTGCTTTTTTTATATCATCTTTTCTGATTTGTTTGTTGATCGCCAGAAATTGACTACAAAGGCCACTCCTTTTTTTCTGATGATTCATCAGGTCTCCTGAGAGATAGACAGGAGGAAAAAGGAATTCTTTGGTTATTTCTAACACGTAAACTCAGTTATCAGAACGATTGTTCTTCAACACAGAAAACCCAGATCTTAGAACTCATCCTCTTCTTTCAACAACTGTTTTTTCCTATAGAAAAACGTGGAAAACAAGTCACTTTTGATCACAGAGGCTTGAATTTCGCTGTAGGATCCATTTTGTTTTGTATATTCCTTCACCAAGATACGAAATTGCTTGCAGTTCGCTAACCAGTGATTTTCTGTTCCTTCAACATGCAGGGAGAATGACAGAACCAAAACCAGAGACACCCTTAATACCACAATCATCTTCTCGAAGGCTCCCTGATTTCAAACAATCTGTTAAGCTGAAATATGTCAAGCTCGGCTACCATTATCTCATCACCCATGGCATGTATCTATTAATCATGCCTACGGTAGGCATCATTGCCGCCCAGCTATCAACATTCTCGTTCCAAGACCTGTATCTCCTATGGGACCATCTGAGGTTCAATCTCATCTCCGCGATCCTCTGCTCCACCCTTCTCGTCTTCTTATCTACAGTCTACTTCGTCACCCGACCAAGGCCTGTCTACCTCGTAGATTTCTCATGTTACAAGCCCGATGATGCTCGGAAATGCACAAGACAGATTTTCATGGAGCGATCCAGCCTAGCAGGCACCTTCACTGAACAGAACCTTGAGTTCCAGAGGAAGATCCTTGAGAGGTCTGGTCTCGGTGAAGACACTTACCTCCCAGCAGCCGTTCTCCGTGTCCCTCCCAACCCATCAATGGCGGAGGCCAGAAAAGAGGCCGAGGCTGTGATGTTTGGAGCCCTCGACCAGCTCTTCGCTAAGACTTGTTTAAAACCCAAGGACATCGGTATCTTGATAGTCAATTGTAGCTTGTTCAATCCGACCCCCTCTCTGTCTGCCATGGTCATCAACCATTACAACCTCCGAGGGAATATAATCAGCTACAACCTTGGTGGAATGGGTTGCAGCGCTGGTCTAATCTCAATCTCTCTTGCAAAAGATCTGCTTCAAGTCCACCCCAATTCTTATGCCTTGGTCATTAGCATGGAGAACATCACTTTGAATTGGTACGTCGGCAATGAACGCTCCATGCTCGTTTCCAATTGCTTGTTCAGAATGGGAGGAGCTGCAGTTTTGCTTTCTAACAAACGCTCCGACCGGCGACGGTCCAAGTACCAACTGGTCCACACTGTCAGGACACACAAAGGTGCGGATGACAAGTGCTTCAGCTGTGTGACCCAACAAGAGGATCCCGACGGGAAGATTGGCGTTTCTCTGTCCAAGGATCTGATGGCAGTTGCAGGGGATGCTCTGAAGACCAACATTACTACCTTGGGTCCTCTTGTTCTACCCATGTCCGAGCAATTGCTCTTCTTTACTACATTGGTCGGGAGGAAGCTATTCAAGATGAAGATCAAGCCATACATCCCTGACTTCAAGTTGGCTTTCGAGCATTTCTGCATCCATGCTGGAGGAAGAGCTGTTTTGGATGAATTGGAGAAGAACTTGCAGCTATCTGATTGGCACATGGAACCAGCAAGGATGACACTTTACCGATTTGGTAACACCTCCAGCAGCTCTCTTTGGTATGAATTAGCTTATGCAGAAGCCAAGGGGAGGATCAAGAAGGGAGACAAAACATGGCAGATAGCATTTGGGTCAGGGTTCAAGTGTAACAGTGCAGTTTGGGAAGCTCTGAGGACCATAAACCCAGCAAAGGAGAAGAACCCATGGATGGATGAAATCCACAATTTCCCAGTAGATGTTCCAAAGGTCTCATCTATCTAAACTCCAATCGAGCTTGAATGGTATTAAACCTTTTGTTTCTGTTCTGGGCCTCTGTAGCTCATGGTTGTACTAAGTTGTGAGTTTTTGTTTGGATGATGGGTTTGAACTTTGGAGGTAGCATCTTTCATGATTTTCTGTTATAGAGCAGGATGTGGTTTAGGCCAGCAACAAGTTTGCTTCATGAAATGCCATATTGCCATGTATGGGGGACTTCAGATGGAAAACAAATTAAAAGGAAGTTGGGTGCTTCATACTAAACTTCTTCATGACTTGGGGTCAAGAGATCCCAAATGGAACTGATTAAATTAATTGAGATATTATTCCTGTTACCATCCATGGTACATTAATTAGGATTTCATTACTATTGTTATTCAAGTTGATTTGAATGTTTTATATAGGTGCTCTGTGATCTTTTTCTACTTGTATCTTTCATAAATGAAGATTTTGCCCTTTGCCCATTTGTTTTGGCCTTGTTCAGGTTGTGATCTTGATCCTCATTTGCTAATGGGTTTTCTCAATTTGCAAGATCTGGTGGGTTTGATCTGAATTTACACACCCTATCTGTTTCTTTACTAACTTTATAAATAATATTAGGCCTGAGGCCCTGAGCTGTGACTATGAGCAGCACTAATGATCTCCTTCAATTGTATACTATAATATCAGCAGCATCTTGAGAGATGACAATAGTCAAAGGGTTTTAGCCATTTCGTGCAATTATGGTGGTAGATGAGATAAAAAAAAGGGAATTCCATAGTTGCAGGTGAGGAATTTTCTATTTCTTTCGTAATATAGTAACAAATGAGAACAGGATTGTTGAGGGTGGTGGGGAAATTTTGGAAATTGCGTTGAGGGTGGTGGGGAAATTCGAATGGGACGAACCTGTCCCTCTTTTTTAATGACAAAACTACCCCCGCTCGAGCTTATCATCTTCTTCTTCCATTCGAAACCCTACGGTAACAGGCAACGGCGGCGTTTGGTTGCGGGTCCACCGGCGACGTTTGATGGTGAGCAAAAAACGGCCGGCGGACCTGCCATTTTGCTCTTACCTTTATGTTTCTATAATATTCCATCAATTTGTGATTTTTTTTTGCGTTTTTTTTTTTTAAGTCTGAAGCTCTCTTTTTCTCTATGGTCGTAGATCTGTGTTTGGGCGACTTCAACGGCGATATCCCACCATCTAGTCGCCGGTGACTAGAAGGTGAGGTCGCCCAAACTCCTCCCCTCCATGTTTGTTTTTTTTTTTTTTTGGTTTTTTGGATGGTTATTTCTCAGGTTTGATTTTTTTTTGGTTGACGAATCCGAAATTCTTTTGGGCGTTTTTTTGTTAGAAATCATGTAAACAATTTGCATGAGTTGGATGAATATTTGTGTGAAAATTTTCTGAAGTTGAATGAATATTTGTGTGAAAATTTGCTAAAGTTGAATGAATATTTGTGTGAATATATTAGTCAATTGTGATTGAATTTTTTTCTTTATTTGATATGAATATTTGTGCAAATATATTCTTCAAGTGTGAATATTTGTGATTTTTTCATGAATTTTTGTTGGCGTTGTTTTTAATTTTATCCTATTTTATTTTTTTGAATAATCCCAATTAGGTCATCCTATTTTATTTTTTTGAATAATCCGAATTAAGTCATCCTATTTTATTTTTTTAATTTGATATTGGTGGTGTTTTTTATTTTCTTGAATAATCTGAATTTCCTATTATTGATTTATATGTATAGTTAAAATTATCATATTTTAATTTTTTTGTTGATTTATATGTATTGTTAATATTATCCTATTCTTTTTTTTTTGAAAAATCCGAATTTAGTCATCCTATTTTATTTTTTTGAAAAATCTGAATTTAGTCATCCTATTTTTAATTTTATTGATTTATTTGGAAGTATTTTGTGAAAATTGCACCTTGAAAGTGCCTTTTGGAAGTATTTTGTGAAAATTGCACCTTAAAAGTACTTTTTGGAAGTATTTTGTGAAAGTTGTGCCTTCAAAATGCTTTCTAGAAGTATTTTGTGAAAGCTATGCCTTGAAAGTACTTTCTGGAAATACTATTCAATATTTGTTAAATTATTATTATTGTTATTTATCAATATTATTCATTATTTTTTATTAGTATTATTATTATTATTATTGTTGTTGTTGTTGTTATTATTATTATTATTATTATTATTATTATTATTATTATTATTATTATTATTATTATTAATTGGGTCCATGTGGGCTCTCAATTGTTATGATGTGGCATTTTTCATTGCAATGTATAGTATAACATATGAAAAACATTGTATGTATATGTATGAATGAAGTGAGGGCTAAAATTGTTATTTGTGTCAATATAAACACTTATGGGAAAAGAAAAGTAGCTTATCAAACATCCCCACCCCAATAAGTGCTTAAAAACATAATAAGTGATTTGGCAAGTGGGTCACCAAACAACCTTAAGTAGTTGTTAAAATAAGTAATTTTAAAAAGTACTTGTGCAACAAGTACTTCTTTTAACAACCACTTAATCATCAAACAAGGACAAAATACATTTACCCGATCAATTATTTCCGAGGTAAAACAATAAAGCCCTATTTGTTTTTCAGTAAGTTATTGCATTTATCCATGTTGTTTTATTTTTTAAGTAAATAATGCAATGACCATTTTAGCCGTAAAAATTAATTATTAAAAGGGGCATTTTGTCCCGTGCTTCCTTGCAGGTGAGAAAGTTATTTACCCACCTAGGAAATGGGTATCCTAGGAAAATAAACTTTCCATAGTCCCCACATAAATCTGAAAAAAGAATTTGGGTTTCTTGTCAAAATCCCATTGACTAACTTTCCCTCCTTTCAAAATCCAGAAAAAGAACACCCCCTAGATTTTGAGAGGGGGACAGTTGGTCAGTGGGATTTTGATTCCCATTGACTAAGAATCCTATGTTCTTTTTTTAGATTTATGTGGGGATCAAGGAAAGTTTATTTTATAAGTAAGTGACATCCATCTCCTATGTGGATAAATAACTTTCCCACTTGGGGAGAAAGTTACCAACACTTGAATGGGACAAAAATGCCCCTTTTAATAATATATTTTTATGGCTAAAATGGTAATTACCTTATTTACATGTGAAATAGAAAAATATGGGTAAATGCACTTACCCGAATAAGCCTTTCTTGAGAAACACCTACCTGGTGCATTTACCCGGGTAGATAACTTACTGAAAAACAAGTGAGACCTAAAAGTAACACTTGCCCAGGTAAAGAAGTTTCTAGTGCTTTTGTACGCTAGTTGTTACCTTGGTAAAGAGAGAGGTGAATAACTTATTGAAAAGCAAGCGAGGCCTAAAAGTAAGACTTGCCAAGGTAAACAAGTTTCTAGTGTTTTTGTACGCTAGTTGTTACGTAGGTAAAGAGAGAGGTGAGAAGGAGAAAGCGGTTATTAGCTTTCAAAAAGCCTATCAATTACCATTGATACTGTTATTATTAAATATCCGATATTACGGGAGAAAAAGTAAAAAACCCATCTAAAGGGAAAATTGAAGGTTAGTATCTTGTATTTTGGACCTAGTTTTAGAGTTGGTCCCCAAACTTTAAAACGATCCAGTGTCTAAACTTTCAAACCATGTATCCTTTTATATGCCATTTAAGGCTGATTAACAGTAGATACTAAGTTCACCACTCATTCATGTGAGGGTTTTGGTGGTACGGATCTAACCTTCTATTCATGAATAGCATAGAGGTTGAATTTTATTTTATATACTTTTTTGGGTGAAGTAGGATTTTGGGTTTGGACTTTTTAGAATTATTTTTTATTGGTTTTTCAAATGTATATTGACATTCACCCCCTTATAAACATATCCCCTTGAATTGGGAATCTTTCCCTCTTGATAAGAGATCGGCTTTAATGCTCACAAGATTGTATTTACATTATTTTCATAGCCTTTTACAATCATGCATTAGGAATATCTCCATAGTTGTATGCTTTTTCTTATGGGAAAATACTTCCAATGTAAGGCTGTATAAATACGGTCTTCTGACGATCAAATCTGATTTCCCTTCACACTGACCCAAACTGTACCACCTCATTAAGAATTCTGAGGTGGATTGGGATTAAAATTAACAAATTATACTATTTGCACTGTACATATTTGTATTTGTACTCCTTTCAAATTGAGCCTTAGGGTTTTCTGTGCATTGGTAAATCATTTCACTCAAGGTTTAAAATATCGGCCCGTATCGGCCGATACGTACTGTTTCCATAAGAAATTGATACATGGAACATGTAAAATTCATGTGCTCTGTTTCTTTTCGTATGTGCCGGTCGATACGGGTCCGTATTGGGTCATTTCAGATCTGTATGGGCCGATACAATCCCGAAACAAGCCGATACAAACCGAACCGTTTTGGTTCCCCTTGTTCAATTAATCTATATTTAATACCAAATCTTTCTCATTAATGTCTTTTTATTACTTATCTATTTAAGTATGACTTCTTCATTAATTAGTTAATTATTACTATATTTAAGGCAAATTTAAATTTAAATTTGAATTTTAGCGCCTAATTACATATCTCTCATTAATTCTATTAATTATTGACTCTCTTCTCTTTCTCTCTCATTAATTTCGTTTTGTTAGTGTAAAAACTACAAATATTAACAATAGCAAGACTTAAACCCTAGTCACCAAATTTTAATGCACATAATTTCGCCACTAAGCTAGTCCGATTTATTTGTTTTAATTACATGCATTTTTAGTTTTAAGTCAATTGTTTTCTTTTCTTAGTGGTGCTTATTAATAAATGCTAAAATTAATTATTAAAATTTATATATTAATAAATATTAAGATAATTATATCGGTTATTTGAAAATTGATGTATATACATTCATATTTTAGTTTTTTTTTAATTTTTTACATTTTAGTTATTCCTTCATTTTTTGACGGCTACTAATTATGTCTCGATATGTCACATTTTATATAAAAATTAAATTATGGGTTTTTACATTTAAAGTGACTTATTTACAATCATATAAAACTTGTAATCATTGTTAATAATATATTGTTTATGATTTATTTGAGTTTCATAACATATTTATGCGTATCTTGATTTTTCGTCCATATCCATACGTATTTAAAACGTGTCCTGATAAGTATCTTAAAATTGTCTTTCTGATACACTTTGCGTTTCCGATACTTTAAACCTTGATTTCACTTTAATATTCTCCTCATCTCTAGTAGAGTTTGGCTTTAGTTTAGGCACCCTCAGTCAAGGCACCATTCGCACGCAATTGGAGGACGCGCCAATTGAAGCATGCTAGGATGTTTCACGCCGTTACTTAACAGTGTCCTCTCCTCTCTCTTGACAGTGGCAGTGAACCAGCGGTGGATTCTCTCCTATTTCAGACCTCCACCTCTAGCCTCTCATCCTCTATTTCTTTCTCTCTCTCTTGTCTTCCCCTCCCTTTTCCTCTTCTTCCCTTC